GTTGAGCCTCTGATTTTGGGAATCTCTTGGTCCAACTGGGTCATTGGCCATCGTGACAAGGGTACTTGCTGGTTCAACTTGCGGTAGTCGATCGTGGGCCGCCATTTGCCGTTGGGTTTCATGACTGGCCATATCGGAGCAGAGTATGTGCTGTTACAGGGCCGGATGACCCCCTTTTCCAGCATGGAGTCAACAATTTCTTGCACTGGCTCATATGACGCTATTGGAATCTTGTACTGTCGCACAAATGTGGGTGGTGCATTTGGGCTTGTCGGGATGCGCACACTGTGGATGTTGGTCAGTCCACAGTCCAGGGAGTCCTTTGCGAAGGAGTCCTTGTACTTGTACAGAACTTCTTTGAGTCCTTGGCGGTCCGCTTCCTTGTGGAGGGCATCCGCCTCACTCAGGATCTGTTGGATTTGTGCGGCGAACCCGATGTAGGGTTCCTCCATGGTTAAGTCATTTGAGGGGCTCTGGGCCGTGATGGTCACCTGTGTAGGTGATTCTGTTGCGAGCTGTGTTGAGACAGCGTAGACTGCAAGGTGAGTGTCGTCTGTGATTTCTGATCGGCAGACGCTTTCTCTGGGCACTGGCAGAATAGAAGTGATGGCAATGGTTCCATTGGGTCTCGTGAACGTTAATGTATCATCATATTCATCTGACAGTAGCTGTACTGGTATGTGGCCTATGACCGGTACCGTTAGCTCAAAGTCATGGAACCTCTGGTTGATGAGCCATCCCAGGTGACTGGCTTTGGGCATGTTGATGTCTTTGGCCGTACAGTTGTTGAACAATATGTACACAGCACGAGATGACACTTCCATGAGAGGTGTGGCTTCCAAGGTCAGTCCTAGTCTTAGGCAGGTCCTGGAAGGTTGGAAGAAGCCTAGCTTACTGTCGAGAGAGTGGCCAGGTCGCATGTTGAGGCGGACGCTGACACTCTTGCTGTAGGCAGGTATTGCAGCTTCTTGCTCACTGATCATGTCACATGCGTCTGGCATGGTTTGACCAGATCGAAGGTTCTTGAGGTTGACTGCCGTGGTCAGTTGGAGGAGCCCATATGACGTCGTTCACGATGTCCACACAGGCATTTCAGCTGGTTCAGGACGTGATCGATTTCTTTGAGGTGGTCTGTCACATTTGAGCTTTTCAACAGCACATCATCCACGTAAACGAGGTTGCCTCTGGTTCTGGCATCAGGGCATGCTTTGTTCAGGAAGATGTTGAATTCAGCTGGTGAGTTGGCATAGCCAAAGGGACACCGTGTGAAGGTGTATTGTCGATTGGCAAAGGTGAATGCCAACTTGTGTTGGTCATCAGGGTGGACAGGGATCGTCCAAAATCCAGAGGCGACGTCCATTGTGGAAAGGATCGTTGAGCCTCTGATTTTGGGAATCTCTTGGTCCAACTGGGTCATTGGCCATCGTGACAAGGGTACTTGCTGGTTCAACTTGCGGTAGTCGATCGTGGGCCGCCATTTGCCGTTGGGTTTCATGACTGGCCATATCGGAGCAGAGTATGTGCTGTTACAGGGCCGGATGACCCCCTTTTCCAGCATGGAGTCAACAATTTCTTGCACTGGCTCATATGACGCTATTGGAATCTTGTACTGTCGCACAAATGTGGGTGGTGCATTTGGGCTTGTCGGGATGCGCACACTGTGGATGTTGGTCAGTCCACAGTCCAGGGAGTCCTTTGCGAAGGAGTCCTTGTACTTGTACAGAACTTCTTTGAGTCCTTGGCGGTCCGCTTCCTTGTGGAGGGCATCCGCCTCACTCAGGATCTGTTGGATTTGTGCGGCGAACCCGGTGTAGGGTTCCTCCATGGTTAAGTCATTTGATGGGCTCTGTGCCTTGATGGTCACCTGTGCAGGTGCTTCTGTTGGGAGCTGTGTTGAGACAGCGTAGACTGCAAGGTGAGTGTCGTCTGTGATTTCTGATCGGCAGACGCTTTCTCTGGGCACTGGCAGAATAGAAGTGATGGCAATGGTTCCATTGGGTCTTGTGAACGTTCCTGTGTCATCACATTCATCTGACAGTAGTTGGACTGGTATGTGGCCTATGACCGGTACCGTTAGCTCAAAGTCATGGAACGTCTGGTTAATGAGCCATCCCAGGTGACTGGCTTTGGGAATGTTGATATCATTGGCCGTACAGTTGTTGAACAATACGTACACAGCACGAGATGACACTTCAATGACAGGTGTGGCTTCCAAGGTCAGTCCTAGTCTTAGGCAGGTCCTGGAAGGTTGGAAGAAGCCTAGCTTACTGTCGAGAGAGTGGCCAGGTCGCATGTTGAGACGGACGCTGACACTCTTGCTGTAGGCAGGTATTGCAGCTTCTTGCTCACTGCTCATGGCACGTTGACTGCCGTGGTCAGTTGGAGGAGCCCATATGACGTCGTTCACGATGTCCACACAGGCATTGAGCCGGACCATGACGTCTGCTCCAATGCAGATGTCATGAGGTAGGTTGGGGACAACGAGGAAGTCTGTTGTTCCATCGTATGTCCACAGCGCAGATGATCTTGGAGGTAGCCATGGTTGTTGGCCAGGGACTGAGCGGGAAGCGGCTGTGTCTTGAGACATATGGGAGGCCCTGCTGTCCTTGATTCAATGCTCTGAATAGCTTCAGACTGATAGCTGAGTTCTCCGCCCACAGGGTTAATGCTGCGTCGGACACTGATGTGTCATGGACATTTATGGCAGTCATGATTCGAAGGAGGCCTGAGTCTGAGTCAGGCGCCTGCAATGAGCAGAGGAAAGGGTCCAGGTTCTTGCTGCTTGGAGTTGAGCTTGGCCCTGGCTTTGACACTGCATCATCAGTCAGTGAGTTGGCGGCGGTGTCCGTGGTTTGACACTGCGACTCGTTGGAGTCTACTGACTGGCAGGGTAGAGGCTCACGGACTTGCGTCCATATCTTTAGTTGCTTGAAGTCAATTAAGGGTTCAAAGCGATTAAGCAGGTCTTTTTCAGCAGCCTTAGGTAGGAGGCTGTCTGTTGCAACACTTAGCCAGGTTTCGAGGTCTTCCCAGTGGCCAACAGAGTCTGTTGTGCGAGACATGTTTTGGCGTGGTGAGGGATATCTTAGAACCTAGACTGACACAGCCCTTGAAGAAGAGGAAACAAACAAGGTAAAACAGAGGTGTAAGTGTGCAATGTCACTTGTGGTTTGACAGTGGGTGTGTAAGGGACAGGTGAGTGTAGTTCTCGGTTACTGTGATTCTCTGGTGGGCGTGCTCCTAATTTGTAGTCTCTGTGGGGAAAATTAGTAAGCACACAGGTAGCACAGCTAGAGAACAGAGGGATGAAAGAAAAAGAAAAGAACAAAATGGAGCAGCGGACAGGATAGTAATAGGATAGAGACAGGAACTGCTGAGATCCTGAGCTGACCCTGTACGTAGTTTTATGACTGCAGATTGTTGGGGAGAAGAACCTTTAGTTTTCCCGGTGGAATGTAGAGATTCAATGTTCGCTTGTGTCCGTTTATAGATTCAAGGGTTTCAATATCTTGAAGGCCGGAATCCTACACAGATGCAAGGAATATTTCCACTACCATTTTCAATCTTAGTTGTTCAATATGGTCCCTCGATGGAAATGTATCAAATGTATCAGGAATATCAGGAAACTGTTGTACAGTTTCTTTTGCCATCTATGAAAAAAATGCATGTGTGTATATATATATATATATATTATATATATATATATATATAAATAATTCATAAAAAATTAGCATATAAAAGACACAAATGGTTCATGAGGACAATAGAACACTTCTAGAACACGTTTTAGAAGTCAACTATCCAAAATGACCCATATTATTTAATAGCAGTTTTGAATCATTTCATAAAATAGATACTGTACCTGTAAGACAAACACTCCACAGCTTGTGACATCGTTTTGTACAGTATGAGAAATATGGCCAGGCTTGTAACGCCCCTGTGGACTGTTTATTGTGGTTTCTTCCCCTTTTGTTGGTTTAGCCCGTACTATCATTAGTTAATTACCCTCATTGTACTCACCTGTCTGTCACTAATTTTCCACCCTATATCAGTTCCTGTCCATTGTGTTCCAGGTTGCCGGTTATTGTGAATGTTACCGTGCGTGCGAGCGACCTACCTGACTCTGCCTTGTTGTGTCTACATTAAATATCATTATTGGAATCCTTGTTGTCCTGCCTGCCTCCACACACTGTGACCGTGACAAGGCTTCAATTGAACGTTAACCCATTCTTCCTTTTCCAGCTGGTTGAGGGAGATATATCCAGCTGCAGACCCGCAGCACAGCAGTTTCAGAACCACAGCAACAGAACCGCAGCCACAGAACCAGAAGTGAGGGGCGGAGCTTACATTTTTTTAACATAGTAGCGCCACCTTATGGTTTTTAAGGGGTAATTTGCTTTTATTACACACGATGCGTCATACTTTATGCATGTATGCATTTTATAATGACATATTAAACATTTTATAAAAATTAACCTTGTGTAATTTAGTTGTAGACCTATACAGTTATTAGTTTCATTGTATTATGCAAGTTATTTCCTGTTTGTGATATTAAAAATGTTTGAAACTTCTGGGCATTTTATATGAAATATACTTTAATCACAAGATTCAAAATAAATGTTTACTCACATACTTGATAATAATGAATGATTAATGAATAATCATGTCACATACATCATACATTTTTTTATATGAAAACTAAAACATTTCAATAAAACACACACACAAACAGCAGCATAATTTTAAAAGTAACAATCAAAATGTACACAATAATTAAATTGAAGTTTATAAAATGAATAATTCACTATTAAGCCCATTTTGTCATGACAATCCTGCATGAATTCAAATTAAAATGTATCAAATGAATTAACTCTTAGGCCATTTTTGTTATGACAATCCTACAAAAATAACTCCCCTGAACACAAGATGAAATATGAAGGGCACTCTGGAAACTTCTGTTCCAGGAGATTGTTGAGGGCCTTTACCTCGTCCTCTTCCTCCATTATAAGGAAAAGAAGCTCTTCCACTGGCCCCCTGAGCAGATGTCTATTTAATTGAGCCATTTCACAACTTCTGTCAGATTACTGGGATCTCCTTCATTACAGAATATTAAAGGAAAATGTAACTTTAATATTTCTTATTAATGTGTGTATATAGATAGATAGATAGATAGATTTGAGACATACCTCACAAGCGTAGCCTGTTATCCAATTGGAAGGGCCTCTTGTAGGGTTTCTGCACTGTAATATACATGTATCTTGGTTAATTTCAAATTGGTCAGAAGGGGATGCAAATGTAATGGTGTGCTGGAGGAAATGTCCAGTACCTTTCAGAGAAAACCA